ATGCTAGACCACAAGTCTGTATTTAATGGAACATTCAATGAGGGGTGCATTGAAGACGCCATACCAACCAGCCTTCTTCAGTTCGTGGGAATGGTTGAACATGGGGCTGATATCAAATCTCAACTGAGATTTGGTGCCTCAAAGACAGACCTGACAATTGCACAACTGTTGCAGTACAACTGCTATGCAGGATACAAAGAAGGAGCAGCAACTCACAGACACTCAAAAGATCGGGAAACACCATTCCCTGTCTACATGGGGACGTCTGTGTATGCCAAAACCAGAAAGAGGACACTAGTTGAAATGCTTTATGAGCATGGTGTCAGCATTTCGTACGACAGAGTGCTAGAGATATCTGCACAGCTGGGAGATGCAACGGTGAACAAGTATGCGGAAGATGGTGTGGTCTGTCCAACAGTTCTACGCAAAGGATTGTTCACCACAGCAGCCATGGATAATATAGACCATAATCCCACTGCTACAACAGCTACCACTTCTTTCCATGGCACCAGCATTTCACTTTTTCAGCACCCAACCAAGGATGAAAAAGGTGAAGAGCGTGAACCACTTGAGTTTGGCGGAGAGAAGGTTAAGACAGTTCCAGAACTTCCTGACTCCTACACAAATATCCGTCCGGCCTTCTTTGCCAAGAAGAACCCTCTTCCTCCACAGGGTGGTGCGACAGTACCAGACCCCAGTCTCCTGCAACCACAACTAGCACTCGAGTATGAGTGGCTGGAGAAGGTCGGTGATACTGAAACAGATCGGACAGAGAATGTTACATGGGCAGCCCACCATGCTTCCAAGAAGAGAAGCCCTGAATTTGAGGTCAGCATCACATCACTGTTACCTCTCCTTCGAGATCCAGCCCACTCGGTTGCTACAGTCAGACATGTGATGGACAAGATCAAGGAGACAGTATCGTTCCTGAACCCAGGACAAATACCTGTCCTGACTGCAGACCAGCCCATCTATGCAGTGGCAAAGCAAATTCAGTGGTACTGGCTTGAACAGTATGGCGAAGACAAGTTCGTCATCATGTTTGGAGGACTGCATATAGAGATGGCTGCGATGAAGTCAATTGGAACTCTTCTCCAGGATAGTGGCTGGACAGGGGCCTTAGTGGAGGCAGAGGTGGCTTCTTCTGGAACAGCAGAATCCTTCCTAACAGCATCAAGCATCACTAGGACACGACAAATCCACCAGATAACAGCATGCAGCCTCTATCAGCTCCTGAAGGCAGCCTACAACGACTTCTGCACAGAGGCAGCTGAGAACTCTGAGGAAGTGCTGACCTTTGATGTCTGGTGTGAGAAGCGCAAACTGGAAAGCCCCCAGTTTCAGTTGTGGCACTTGGTACTGTCCATGGAACTAGCGATTCTCCTCCTGGTTCGAGCGTTTAGAGAAGCCAACTTCAGCTTGTACTGCCAGTCATTGGCAGAGCTAATCCCATACTTCTTTGCCAACACAACACAAACTATGCACGCTGGCTTCCAATCCATCTAAGAGACATGTTGACCCTGAAGGAGAAACATCCTCAGCTTGCCCAAGAATTCGAGAGTGGAAAATTTGTTGTTCACAAGTCTAGCCGAGAATTTTCTGCCATGGCTATTGACCAAGCACATGAACAGGCCAATGCTGTCATCAAAGCCGACGGGGGAGCCATTGGCGTGACTGAAGATCCATCAGCCCTGAGAAGATGGATGGTAGCCGGTCCTCAGATCAGTCACCTAGTTGAGCAGTGTGAGGCAGCATCTGAGGCGAAAGAGGCTACAGAACAAACCAGCCACCATGAGCATACACCTCGAGCCCAAAGAGATTTCCTTGAGAAAGTTCAGAAGCTGACACAGGCAATGAGGGATCTGGGAAATCCTTTCCAGGAGGAGAGTCAAGACCTGCTGTCACTGGACACCAAGGACATTGCTGACCCCAGTGCAGCTGAACTTATCAGCACACACCATAAGAGAGGCAGAATCCGTTTCCAGGAGTTCATGAGGGGACTGGCAGTAAAAGAAATTACCACCTTCTATGAACCAATCAAGAAGAATAAGGTGGACTTCTTCCAACAGCAACCAGCCTCAGTTGATGTTACAAAGCAAAACATGCTGAAGGAAGACTGTCAACTTTTTTCTAAACTGTTCATCTCGTGCCAGAGCAGAGAATGTGACCTGCAGGAATTCTTTCGACATGAGAATCAGCAGTTCCCTGCATCCCTGAGTGCAGGCGGGAAGCTCTACACTTGTCAGAAATCCCAGCTTGCTGCCATTCTTGAAAGCCATGTTAGAATCCCTGATACAGAACCTGAAGCTGATACAATAATCATTGACGGCTCAGCACTGGTGAACGCTCTACTTCCACGAACTTCAAAGACTTTTGATGACTATGCAACGCTGGTGGTCCTCCCAACCATACAAGCGTACTCCACAAAGTACCAAAGAACAGACCTTGTTTTTGATGTCTACAAGTCATCAAGTTTGAAGGCAGAGACAAGGACAAAGCGAGGACGTGGAGTCAGACGCAGGGTGACAAGCAAGGGCAAAATTCCTCGAAACTGGCAAAATTTCCTGAGAGACAATGACAACAAAACTGAGTTGTTCAATTTCCTGGCTCTGAAGATTGCACAGATATCGTCACCCAACACAGTTATTGTGACCAGAGAAGATGGTGTTGCTAGCAACCATGCAGTCAACATGGATGGGCTGGCTCCTTGTAGTCACGAAGAAGCTGACACACGCATCTTTCTCCATGCCAGAAATGCAGCAGAAGAGGGCAGCAAAGCCCTAATAGTCAAAGCCAATGACACAGATGTTCTCGTCATCGCGATCAGTGTTCTTCTAGACCTTCAGGAGATTGGATTGCAGCAGCTGTGGTTGGCCTTTGGACAAGGTCAGAATCTCAAATGGATTCCTGTACATGACCTTCATCACTTCATAGGACCGGAGAAAAGCAAAGGAATTCTCTTCTTCCATGCTTTTACAGGCTGTGATGTTGTATCAGGATTCCGTGGTAAAGGAAAGAAGTCAGCATGGCAAACCTGGAATGTATGTCCCGAAGCTTCTGATGTCTTTACAAAACTTAGCCAGTACCCACCAAAAGTTGATGATGATGATATGGAGACCCTGGAAAAGTTTGTGGTGACGATGTATGACAGGTCCAGTACAGCTGCAGGTGTAGATAACGCCAGGCTAGATATGTTTGCTAGAAAGCAGAGACCTTACGAAGCCATTCCCCCAACTCGAGCAGCACTGCTCCAGCATGCCAAACGTGCAGCTTTTGAGGCAGGTTGCATATGGAGTCAGTCAACACTGCGCCAACCAGAAACACAAAGTCCTGCAGACTGGGGCTGGATAAAGAAGGATGATCTGTGGCAGGTTTTCTGGACAACACTTCCTCCTATTGCAGAGAGTTGTCAACAGCTGACCAAGTGTGGGTGCAAGTCAGAATGCCGCGTTCCAATCAAAACGACAATAGAAAGACAAACAAGATGTATAGACATTAAGACATTATTAACAAAATTATAGCCGTGGACAAGTTTGACTCTGCAGTTGGATTGGACATTGAAATGATATTTGGAGATCTGTTCTGGCTAAAATATATACAGTTAGTTTCCTGAAATATGCAGAATAACTGGATATACATTTTTTAGATATACATACGTCAATCTTAATAAAAAGTTGTTTCATATCATTGCAAAAGCCGCGTTTCCTGTTAATTTTTCACTCTTTTGGGATAGAAATGGTAGAAAGAAGCTCCAAATAGATCTTAGAGTTATACTTTTGGATTCCTTATACTTGAAAACCTACTTTTTAACACAACGATCAACTAAATCAGTTACTGTAGTGAGATTCTATGGCAAAATAGACAATTTTATGCCAAAATGGCCGCCATCTTGAAAAATGGTAGCCATTTTGAATTTCAGGTGGCCAGCGTATTTTTTCAAAAAAGTAACCCCTAAGGAGTATTTGTGCCAAGTTTGGTGCTTGTATCACATTTTGAAAGATACTTTCCCTTATCTGCTGCACTACAACGAAACCAACACAGACATCGTTCCACCAAGCTGTAAGATACGAGTAAGGATTAAATTTCCCTATTGTGAATTCATATTTCTAGATAGCAACATCCTGCATGCCAAACCTATGTTTTCACATGTCGCAGTTGATCCGATATTTGAGGGTCTGTTCCCAATATCACAATATTCGTGCGAGATGTCGACTATTGACAGATGGAGATAGGTGATGCGGAAGTTTTACTCTAATGATAGTGATCTCTTTGAGATAAAATCTATTTCTTTGTGCGATATGAAACCGGACGTGTCTGATGCTCAGTAAGCCTGCTGGTTCATTGGTCTCTATTAGAAAAGTGATATTACTTGCTTGAATCGACCTGGAAGCAGAAACCACTTACTCTTTCAAGCTGCTTAATATGTCCAAGGGAAGTAACTCTGATGAAGTGTAACGAACTCCGATCTGTTTTAGTTATCAGTGATTATTGATTCTTGTGATCTTCACTCCATATTCAATCATTTTGAAAATTTCTCCAGTAGTTGATAGCTTTGAAAGAACATTGTTAAACATGTGCGTTTAGAAATAATGTCATAGAGTTTTAGATATGATTAAATATCAAATTAGCAACATCGTCAAAAGTGATGACATAACTGCGAGGGTATGAATCAAAACCATGTTGACTAGTTGACGAATCATATTATCCCTATGTTGAAAAATTACACTGTGTTGATTGTGGTGAAATATCAGTTTTCTCCTGATTATTTTGGAGGTAACGATACAAATAAATTACTTTGGACATTAATGTATCTTTCCCAGGTAAGTTATTTCCGACACGTTTAATGGACCTTTATATCCAGATATCAGGAAAATAAATTATATTCAACAGAAATGTAGACGTCACGTTCAAATCCTTGTAATGTATACGTTTCTTTAAGAATAATACATGCACAAATGAGAACAAATGAAACTATGAAACCATAAGTGTTTATTTGTTACGATACATCAAATTTTATTTTATCAGACACAGTTTTCAGCCAAAAGCCCCTATCAACAAGATCATACAATAGAGTTTGACGACATCACATTTGGATGTTTCATGCCTATTGTGATGTTAGATCAGATGACAATACCGTATGATATTGTCATTATTATTCACGCTATGCAGTGCCTTCGTGTTGTTGGAAATGTGGATCAGTGTCACAGTATAAATGTTTAAAAATATACCGAAGTTAAAAAAAACTAACCAGTAAACACTTCATCTTGGATAATATTTTTCAGGGTCAAAGGTCGATATATACATCTGAGTTATGAACAGACAAATATGTTCCGAGTAATTAATTATCATGTCCCAGATGTTCCATAAGTCAATACGCATATCGGGGATAACAACCTGGAAACGTCAGTAAATAGAAAGAAAATGAATGGTGACTATCCAGTCACTTTCCATTCCATGTATCTGGGATAATGTGTTTGTATATAGAAGACTAATACTTAATTGCACATATTTGAATAAATACATCATAATTTCGCTGATTTGTGAAATCGATCAATCTTGAAATAAGACAGGTTGTAAGACGGTGATTTCTGCATGACCAGTTCAGATAGGACTTTACCCACAACAGGTGACAATTTGAAACCATGGCCTGTAAAACATGGACGTTCAAATATAAATTCAATTAAAATTGATATTCTATATCAAACTAGTATTTACTTTTGATTATTGGATATGATATATATGATACGTAATGCACATAACACGGGAAGACTTAATTAACTTAAAGCCGTCTTAATGATCTCAACTCTGATTGTTTCTAGTTAATAAAATATTTGTAAGCATCGACATTCCAAATAATGTTTGGGAGATTTTTAAAAAGAAAGTAACATTTATATATTAATATTTAGTACATTATTACCAAAGATAGTATGATTTGACAGATGGTTGATAAAAAAGTCATAAATATTATTACAGATTGTCAGTCTCCAGAAACTGATCAGTAGTGTACGAGTATCTAATAAGGCAGGGCTATACAAAGGCATTCATACACACCAAGTACATCTGTTGTTACGACAAAAGCGTTCAGTAGCGGGGAAAGTATTTATCATTTACCAAATAAAGTGCAAAGGGATTTGATTTAGATTATTTACAAAATCTACAATATGACATGCCACAACGTAAAGGAAAGTAAGAACAAATAGAAGTTAATAAACACTCACCGGAGAAACCGGCTCCAATGATTATGTTCCGCCAAGCCGGATGTCTGTCCAGTACCAAATCGTGGTCCGGTGTATTCTTTAGGGGAAAAACAAGCTTTTCATTCGCACAACATACAACATTTACAAGCTCTTGTTTGACGTTGACTCCAAAATACACTAGAATATACTTAAATTCTAGAAAGAATGTACATTGTGAACTTCGATGTTCTTTGCCAGATAAAAAGGGACCTGCTATTAAAATAGTAAGAATTTAAAAGTGTGGAAATTGGGCAACATTTTCATTGTTGAGATGGGAAGCCTTTCAAACTTTCAGCGCATTGACATATTTTACACCACCATTCACGAAATATTTAGAAATATGGATTTGTTGTAAAACTATTTAAGAATGTTTAATTATTTTGTAACCGAGTACAATACTTATGGCTCCAGGAAGCGGCTCCAGTGAGTACTAATTAACTCTTAGTTAGCCAATCTTGTTTATAGGAGTAATGCATTAAAACACAGGTATGTTTTATTTCTGATATCTGTGTCACCAGACAATAGGCGTAAAAAAGATAGGTAAGAAGACATGGTGTAAGTCATGTTACATCATTTTATTTATAGCGTTACAATAAAATTACATATGACTTGTATCATTAAAGCTTTGATATGGTATCCCCAACGTATTGTTTAGAAATATTTGGACTGCTGTAGGTACAATATGACTCCTCCTACATGGTACTCAATCTTACCGTATAGATACAAGTTTCTGTGACTGCCGGATGAGGCTCCAATAGAGGAAAATGGTTAGCTACAAATGTTTTCATGTTATCCAGCACCCAGGCACTGTCAGTGTCATCTCTCCTGTCCGGGTCAATTTCCGGACCGTAGTGTAAACACAACTATTAGTATATATAAAGTAAAAAAGGAGAGAGTACAAGATTTCCGACCCAATCACATTATAATATCTACCAACAGGTAATACTCTCCGTTAGAATACAACACCAAACATAATACATACAATACAAATAATGACAATATTATATCTATGTCGTGTTTTGTAAACAACTTTCAAATGGCACGTGATCTGGTTCGAATAAAAACATAATCGTCTTCTCTCCTGCAACCAGAGTAAGATATTCTAGTTAGTAGAGCGACTGTGTAAAGGAATGAAACGGTCCGAAGATCAAATCTCACTGAAGATCTCTGATGTGCTGGTAATATAGTATTATTTTCCTACACACACTTGTTCAAATGAACTAAATTCCCGAATTTCCCATGTTTTCGAAAGATTAAACAAAAGACACTGAAGTGAATTACATGTTTGAATGTAATTTAAATAAGACACATTATTGTAAAATTTAGTCATTATTTTCGTCATAGTGCTTTCGCTGTCATTCAAGCGGTAACCCCCATCCACACCCTCGATTTCAAATATCGCCAAAATAAAACAACAACAGTACAATATACGCCGAAATTTTGATCTCCTCATTTTATTATCATTATATAAAAGTATTATTAGAGCCCGTTCTCAGCGCACTGGGTTTACATATTTATCTCTACAGCTGTATGCAGTCAAAGTTTTATGGTATATATATTCTACGCTCAATCCAGTTTCCAATTACCTTGTGAAACAGACAACAAACACCATTACCTTATACAAACCAGGGTATTCTAAGCTCGGGAGGCCATAGACATCGAAGTCCCCACTTCCATTGGCTGCCAAAAACGTTGGGAATGTCTCGGCTCCGTAAGTTCCCGGAACTTTCTCTTTCCAGTAAAACACACTGATACGTATCGCCTAGGAAATGGTAATTAACTGGTATACGGTAGCTAAGTGTTTTAATGGTTCGCTATATCTCTTTAGAAAGTTCAACTAATTGTCATTCTGACCCTACCTCCTGTCTGTAGAGTTATCCATACATGTATCATATTGTCTATTCAGACAACGACCAGCAATTTCATTGTTTATAACGCCAAATCGACAACATTTCTAGTGGCATTTCCTACCAGGAGTTACCTAAAACGATGTGCTCTGTTCCTACCAGGAGTAACCCAAAACGATGTGTTGTGCTCCTACCAGGAGTTACCTAAAACGATGTGTTCCGCTCCTACCAGGAGTTACCAAAAACGATGTGTTGTGCTCCTACCAGGAGTTACCTAAAACGATGTGTTGTGCTCCTACCAGGAGTTACCTAAAAACGATGTGTTCTGCTCGTACCAGGAGTTACCCAAAACGATGTGTTCTGCTCCTACCAGGAGTTACCTAAAAACGATGTGTTCTGCATGCGCTTTCAAAGTTTAGCTGACTAAGTCAGATGATGTTTATATAAGAAAGAAGCTAATGTTATCAAATAAATATTGTTTACGAATAAAAAAAATCAAAAACAAAACACAGTAAAAAAAACTCTAAAGGGTATACATGCATCATACTGGAGACATACAAAAACACCACTTGCGCGAATTCACGGTATACCAGACGGATCATGTTCCTTACATCACCCCTGTATTGTTACATGTTTTTAACTGCAGTAATTATCAGATTTGTACGTCGTTTATTATACTATGATTTTGATTTCTTAGAATTGTATCTATGAAATGTGAAATTCAGATTCATGCGTTCACAAATCCAGTAGAGGTTCTGTAAAAATAATTACCTTGAAAGGTCATTAACGTATAGCAAGTATACCTTACCTTGAGTGGTATATGGATGCCAAGAGAAGGAAGAACTTTGGTGGCCCAGGGTCCTACTGTCAGGACTAGGTTCCGGCCTCTATAGCTACCCTTATTGGTTTTTACTGTTACAATATCCCCCGGAAATACGTCCACCATGGCCTCGTTATCACGCAAAATACCTCCTTGCTTAACAAACTGGCCCTAGAAGGGTAAATGATATAAGATGTATTCATTGATAGAATGCATTCTTTAAGAATTGAAAAAGACGCCTTACACTTTTGTAAGGATGCAAGTTATCAGATCTCTGCACGTGTACTGGAAATGTACGTTGAGCGCCAGGTGGCGAGGTACATATGCACCTGTATCTGGAACGTAAACAATACCACAGGCACTCGAGGCCAGGATATTATTTTTTAAACATTGATTTTTGTTTAGCACTCATGACTGACGTTATTTAAACGAAATATCAGCAGAATTCAAGTTTATGTGCCAGTTGACAAATCCGAGGTCCACGGTCATTAAAAAATACACAAGGCAAGCAACTCCAGATTTTAAAAAATCGACCCCTCGCTTGGAAACTGGCTCAAAAAAAGTAGTTATGATAAGTTCCTTGTAAAACAATATGTATCCGTAGGTAGTGTGTATATTTACCTTTTATTTGGTGCATAACATTACAGGCAACGAGAAATTCACAATACGTACATGAGATTAACATCTCAATAACCGGAGATTTTATCGTCCATGTAATTATCTTTGACGGAAGTAACATGCCATTTCAAGGGCGGTCACTCCGACTTTTTGGGAGAGGAGTTCCGGATAGCACTATACCAGTGAACAGGTAAGAAAGGTTCCGATGTCATTACGCGCGTAACTTCAAAATAGATATTTTTATTTCTACAAATACATTTGCGGGGATGGAAAAATAATGGCTGGGCAAAAAAGTCCACATTTGCCAACTCGGATACAATATCATGGTAAGGGATTATACAGAATGCATCAACTTTCAATCAAGCTGGCGGTAATGAGAATTTTTTTTTCAAAAAAAAAAAAAAAAAATAAGAAAAAAATCATGCAGATAATGAAAAAAGGGCGCAATTTATGAAAAATATCGTGGGGGAAATATATTAACTTAGAAATTGGAAATTAAATGATTTTTTCCATAGTGATTTTTGTCAAGTTATTGAGAATATTTGAAAAGAGGCGCAATTTATGAAAAATATCGTTCCTTAGATAAAGCCCTACACCGTTTGCAGCAAAAAAAATACATTGACCTTTATTCAAGGTCACTTTGGTCCAATGTGTTGATTTTTTAAACGACTTATTCCGATTAACCAAAAGTCCAGGGATCATGGTGTTTGATAAAACGTTTCTTGGGTGAAGGGCAACAAAGTTTGAGAAAAGATATTACTTTGACATTATATTCAAGGTCATGGATAAACCCTTAAATAACATCTTCTGATAACCAAAAAGGCCTTGGGTCATGATATTTGGTCAGGAAGTCCATTGTATCTCTCTACAAGCCCGTTGGGCCTCTTGGTTAATAAGTAATATGTATTTCTTTTCAAATATTCTCAATAACTCATTATTTTTTCATTATCTGCATGATTTTTTTCTCTCATTACCGCCAGCTCTGTATAATCTTCTCTCTCTCTCTCTCTCTCTCTCTCTCTCTTTCTCTCTCTCTCTCTCTCTCTCTTCTCTCAAAGATAATTACATGGACGATAAAACCTCCGGTTATTGAGATGTTAATCTTATGTACGTATTGTGAATTTCTCGTTGCCTGTAATGTTATGCACTAAATAAAAGGTAAATATACACACTACTTACGGATACATATTGTTTTACAAGGAACTTATCATAACTACATTTTCTCTCTGCTTCTCTCTCTCGGATTTCATCTTGAATTCTGCTGATACTTCGTTTAAATAACGTCAGTTATGAGTGCTAAAACAAAAATCAATGTTTAAAAAATAATATCCTGGCCTCGAGTGCCTGTGAACAATACAAGCAAAACATCCACTGATGCTATAATGGCCCGGACTGGATTATTGCTTGTGTTGTTGAAAACACATTCGACTTGCAGTAAGGCTGCAGGAGCCCGACTTTCCGATCGTGCTTAAAAAGGTATAGGGTCATTTGCTCGATCATGTACACAGGTTTACTCTAAGTCAGGCCTTTCTCACGTTGCAAACACGGACAATCAGAGTGATGCAATGTATATATAATTGGCTTGTGACCATATTTCTTATTCCTGCCCTAAAGACTATGTATTACCTGAAAAGCAGCTAAAGCTTTGTCGGCGAACAACACTCCTCCAGTGTGGTCTTCCACGCCAGTAATGTCTTGGGAGTATTTCAGCATGGGGTACTTCTTCCCCAAAGCGCGTCCGTCCAGTGATGTGAACGGCACGGAGTATTTCCGGAGCGCCCGAACCGTTCCATCAATTAGATCTTCCTCGGCTTTTCCGACCAATAAGAGGCCTGTTTTTCTGTAGAGATATGGTTAACAAATAACGTATTCCGATCTTGGAAATCTGATAAATATGTTGAAAATTGCCATTTGGGACACGCTGTTGATTTCAACTTCATTCTAAGTGGCTATTTGTTTATTTATTTATTATTTTTGTTCTCTCTCTCTCTCTCTCTCTCTCTCTCTCTCTCTCTCTCTCTCTCTCTCTCTCTCTCTCTCTCTCTCTCTCTCTCTCTCTCTCTCTCTCTCTCTCAAGGTTATGACTGTTAATTTGTATCAACACGTGGATGTCGTTTATAGCTTATCGTAAGTATACAGGTTTATCATTATAGATATATATTTGACGTATGTTTGGTTTGTGCTTTGTACGGTACATATGGATACGGGTATCGGTTATCTAACAATTCTTTTTTATTCCCTCTGATTTATTCATTTATTTGTATGTCATTCATTCATGTGTCTTTTCTATTTTATTTATTCCTTTTCATTTTTGAAAAAAGAAAATTATCATAAATCATCATCAAATATCATATTTCAGATTAAGTTAAAAAGAGTAACAGACTGAAATAAAAAAAGAATTGTCTTCACAATTAAATAAAACTATATCTATTATTCTAATCATTTTACTATACACATTTATGTATTATGTTACCTTAACATGACCACCAGTGTCTATTTGTTCACTTACTTATATAAAGTAGTCCCAGATTCTTTTTCTAGAACCTCCCATAATTTGTACGCCTCCTTCATCATCTCTGTGTAGTAATCAGCACCACCATAGGCCATCCGGGTGATTCGGCTTTGTCCATGAGAACTTCCACGAGAATGTGGAAGGGGAAACTGTAAAACGCAAATTAGAGCGAGCTATAAATAACAATGTATATACATGTAATAGATTTCAACCTTCTATGATGTTGATAGGATAATGACGTAACTTACTGGATTCATACTCAATTGAGACTCCATTATTTCTCTCTAGGATAATTCACCATCTGCCAGTTTTAACACTTCTCTGATGTTTTGACATTTATGGCTTGCTTTTTCCTGTCAAAAACTAAGGAGATTCCTTTCTTCCAAAAGTGCCTTACATTAGGTCGTACAGGCTGTATTGAAAGGTACCATTCACTTGTGGGTCTTTCGTGCAATAGAAACGTTAGTTTATTTTGACATTGCTTTAAATCAATTTTAATTTTCCTCAAATTATTTAATAAGCTTCAACACTTTGAGCCAGCACCTCTGACCATTGTCCAAATTATTCTGACGTTCTATCAACTTTATATCTTGGTCTGATCGACGTTCAAACTCAGCGAGGTAAATACCCATACGAGAGTCGGCATTCAAATGATGAACGTGGAGACAAATCGCCATTTTCACATGCATATGGCAAATAGATCGAAAGGCCAAGGTATTTCCGAAAAAGCATATCGGACGTAATCATGTATCATTACCCAGGCGAACATAGACAAGCGCTCTCAGCTAAATTTCACTTACGAAAATGAATATTCCCTCTTTTTAAAATCTTCAATGAATTATCTCAAAGTCTTGACATCGATATACAGCTCCATCAGTGAAATGGAAGAAAGAAAGCAAAGCGTGGTTGTTTACCTTATTGTCTGTACGTTTGAGCATACGCAAAAAGTGACCAACACAATCGTAAAGTACACTTTTGTTAAGAGTGGGAGGAGGGGGGGTGTTGAAATATGTACGTTTAGTCAGTGTGTCGGTTATTATGTTTGTCCTGTTTGAAAATATAAAGAACATACCTTTTGATTCGTGCACGATATACATGTGAAATAGACGACTGCTTTCCACACTTATTACCATTTCAATGCCGATCCAAGCACGGGACATGTTTCCCTCACTTTTTATTGGGACGTAATTCTGACGTTCATCGACTCCAACGCGATATATATAGGTCGATAGAACGTCAGAATTACACGGACCACACTGACCAGTCCGTGACGGAGAAACTGCTGTTTGATTAATTTAGCATCTGGCTATACCGTTTTATATTGATCAGTTATGGAATTATGTAATGGGGTCATTATGGTGTTCTATCAACTTTGAAGTCCGAGGTCAATATTGTGTTACCAGGTCGACATATTACTAAAATCAAATATCCTTAGAAACCTTTACATATTACGATAAAACTAATTTATTCAGGTCCAATGTTATTTTGAAAATTGTCGAATTAAAAATGACTTTTATAGTCACCGATGAATTTTAATGTTCATATGATCGCTATTCAGTAAAATCTTCCCGTTTAATTTAGTTTTAATAATTTTCCGTTTGATTTTCAATTCGTAATATTAGCAAACGATTTTTATCAAACCGCACAAAACGTGCGATCCTATCGCACAGTTGTTCGCATGATACTGTTCGTGTGTGTGTGTGCGCGCGCGCATGAATTTTTTTGCTTTGTTGTGCGTCACCACCACTGTATATACATGTATTTCATATGCAGCTGACATGTGGATAAAATTAGTCTTATCTCGAAACTGAACATTCTAACAAATACATACAGTTGTAAAAAGTTATGTGTCTATTTACTTAATAGGCAGAGTACAAAATATCTAAAACCTTTAAACAAATCAAATAAGAATATAACAATTGATCCTCTAATACACGTATATCCTATTCTGGGTGATATGTGGTCGCCCATTTTGAATTAGTTAGAAGCACGGAGTTCATATACTATATATCAACCTGCACGTCTTTTCGTTATTTCGCTTTGGCGTGTTTTCGTCTTTTCGTATTTTATTTTTTTCGCTTTGTCGGATTTTCGTCTTTTTGTTACTTCGTTTTTTCGCCCGAAGTTCTTTCCAAGGGCAACAAAACGAAAAGACGAAATGTTAGGTATAAGCCACCATGGTTCTGCGGGTCGTTTGAGAAGCTGGGGGTTATTCCTTCCTTAGGAAAACTTTGGTTATATCACATGATAGTTTTTACCAACGATTAGACAATAAAAACAAGTACAACTGCAACATTTCTGTCTTTATTCATTCCCCGATAAAAATGTGTAATGCAAATTTGTGCATATGTATCTATTTATCGGAGGTTTCTACAGGAATCAATGCTATTTGTGAGTCTTCTGGTAGTATCCGTACACATGTGTGGACGAAGTGGGTATATAGGCTCTGTTGATAAACTTGCCCACAAAACAAGTTCTGTAAATCAAAGTTGTAGATTTAACAACAAAACTTTTTCTATTAAATTACATCAAATTGTATATGAGTTATACATCAAAATATTCCGCAACTAAATCTAGAGATATTAACAATGTCTTTTGATGAATTACCACGGTTGCATGAAATGAAAAAAAAAAGAAAAAAAAAGTTCAATAAACCTTTATAAAGACTTCATTTTGTTTTTTAAAAAAATCCAAATTTTACCTCACCAGTGCCGACATCACGGCGGAACAGGTGACCAATCACTGTGGGAAAAACTTGAAAATTAGCCAATTAAAGTTCACAGATTATTTAATACCCGTGTGGGAACTCTCACAAATGATGTGTTCAGCGACTGATGCTATACAGGGTGGATTCACGACAGAAAAAAAAAACGAACAAATGTAGGGAACACAATGCATATTACATAGCGCATATTAATTTACTGTTTGCCTTTTAGACCAGAAGCTAACAGGTCAGTGCTGTTTGAATTGCCATCATGAGAAGAATCCAATTTTGATCTATTTGACCTATGGCCTTTGGTGACCTATATATTGACCTTTAGATTTCATTACATTGTACTTAAATGTACAAATTAATAGTGTCAAATATAGGGTTTTTTTATTGATCACTTAATTGACCTGTGACCTGTGTTTACCTATATATTGGCCATTGACTCAACTTTACGATACCTTTGTCATAAGTTACATTGTAATAATGCGCAAAAATGTGTTCATCAGTATTCATAATTTACTTGATCTGTGACAGGTAAAAAAAGTATAACTTGACAAGAAATATCTGTGTCACTGTATCTGATAACGTATTGAGACAGTTCCTTATGTTAATTCAATGTAATTTCAAGTAGTTAATTACTGGTAATTTCCTAGAACATTGGATACCTCATTTTACGGCCGCACTTAGGCCTCCTAACTTTACATTTTGCTACGTGTGAATATTTCATAGGTGGAATATGGATATTCGATAACCAAGCACAACTATTCTTTTGTTTGAAAGTTTCAGGGAAATCTTATAGAGTCAAGTTATGCACATACATGTATGTTATATTGCTTTACTTTCGTGCTGTGTTAAATAACAAGTTAAAAGAATTTTGGCGAATTGAAGTGGAGCATCGATGTTTTCCTCTCAAATCTTATATTGCTTTACTTTCGTGCTGTGTTAAATAACAAGTTAAAAGAATTTTGGCGAATTGAAGTGGAGCATCGATGTTTTCCTCTCAAATCTCTAAACACTAGGAATGGTGGAAAAGCTGTCACATCTCTAAATACTAGGAATGGTGGAAAAGCTGTCACATCTCTAAATACTAGGAATGGTGGAAAAGCTGTCACATCTCTAAATACTAGGAATGGTGGAAAATCTGATCACATCTCTAAATACTAGGAATGGTGGAAAAGCTGTTTTACCTAACGCTTGATTAAGATGATATGCGACTACTACATAGATATCCACACCTGAGATAGTGACCGTCTATGTTACACATTTTAACTCTATAACCTGTTGAGTAAACATGTCTGTGTTGTATTTGTAATATTTATAAAACTATAAATGATTATTTTTCACAAATCTTGTTAAGTTGAATAAGCTTTGAAAGACCCAGTCTGTTGTTAACTTTACCATTTCAGCGTTGACCTTGACCGACGTTCTGTTTACCAATTTAGAATTGGATTTCAAATACACGGAATGGTTCTTAACTGTCAATGTCATTTAGGTATATGTTATGTGTGTACATAATCCTCTTGCCAGTAAGATAATATTTAAACCACATATATTTACCAAGACATGTAAATCATCGTGTATACACCATAATTATATAATGCGACCAGACCGCCGTGATTTCTCACCTGTTCCAGTAACAAGGTGTGATGTCCATTCTTGACCAAGTGATAAGCTGTAGACGAGCCTTCTATTCCAGCCCCCACTACGATCGAGTCGTACACCTCCATGTTACTGCTCCTTGTTGTATCGAACGAAACAGTCGTGTGATAACACATGTGACCCAACCGCCACTAATGATACTCTTAAGCCTCATTTGTGTATCGTCGAGTCCCGGAGATCGCTGTGTTTAACGACGGGGTGTACATGTTTTATTTATATTTCATGCAAAGCTCTCATTCTTTGACAAGCATTCATATGAACCGTGAAAAAATAAAATAAAAATAAGTTAAAAAAATATGATGATACGAGTGTGTAAACTAGGTCAACTGCGCACACACCGCTCCATCTGACATTGAGTTGTTTGTTTGCACAGACCGGTATCAGCTTACAAATTGCACTCGCTCTTTTTCTGGCGAACAAAATATCAGAAGAGTTTTGTGTTGATGTTTTTAGAATTTTGGTGGTAATCAAAAGAATTTTTTCCTTTTTCATTTCATTAGACATAGGATTAAATGGTCAGAGATTATAACGATGACAATTTGAAACGAAAATAAAATAAAAACCAAATGATTAGTAGCCTAGAGTAGAAAATTGAGTTGTGGAGTACGTTATAGAAGACTTGAAACAGGTGCTGTCGTTCTTGTTATCTTTACAAAGGTGTACATGTTCCTTCCTGCTGGTCCTGTTAGGCCTTCCTTATATCGAATCTTAGTTTGAATGATTATCTGATATTCTATAGCTGTTCGTGCTATGTTTTTCGGTACCAAATATAGAATACATTATCACTCTCTTAATGACATGACGTACTTCGGCGAGGATGAAGAAAGAAAGAAGTGGCGAGCCTTTGTCTAGTCACTTTTATCTTGCTCTCTCGAGCAAAAGTGCAGCTTACATGTGATGACTCTAACCATGTATTCTATTTATCCTGCAACACTTAAAGAAAATTCAGATTGTCTAAACTTCTACAATTTGTTAGGTTTGTTCAGTATTTGTTTGCCTAACGTAGACGTTACGCTGAATTGTGTCCACACTTCTTTAAATATAAAAAATGAAAAAAAATTAAATATTGCGGTATTTTGATATATACATTCAAATCTGTTTCGGATTTCATTCTTTATTCTAAATGATCTATTAGTTGACAATTCGTTGAAATTCGACAGTTTTTATATCCCATTCTGTTCATACTTTTAGATATATAAAATTTCAAGATTTGTTTACTCGTTAATCAAATACAGATTGTATAATTTTATATTATTTTTATATCAGTTATCAGTTTTAAATCACCAATTCACAACATTAACCACTATTAGTAACAAGTTTAGCTTAGAAGGATACATTCATTTATAAATTAGATTTACTTTGAATCAATAGTAGAAGCTATATTTGTGATTTCTTTGTATTTACAAAAGAATATCATACTTGATATTATTTGGGAAATCGATCGATCTTGAAATAAGACAGGTTGTAGGAGGATATCTTCTGCATGGCCAGTTCAGATAGGACTTTACCCACAACAGGTGACAGTTTGAATCCGTGACCTGTAAACAATATTAACGTATCACTGTCAGAAGTATCGATCAGCTAACATTGTCCTGGGCAAAATGTTGTCCGACTTTTGTAGAAGAATGAACTGTCTAAATACAAGGCTATCACGAGCTGCAAATCAACACCTTGTAATGAGTTTCCTTAGCACTGATTTCAACAGAGATTGAAGCGCTTGTCCACACCATCTGAAGTAAATTTGAATTTGATGTTACCTCACGTTGAAACAGGGATTGTTTATAAACTTATGGAGGCAATTAACAGTGATATTGTTACATGTTAAGGTAGATCACTACAGTCCTGTCAGACCTGGAGTGATATTGTTACATGTTATGTTTGATCACTACAGTCCTGTCAGACCTGGAGTGATATTGTTACATGTTAAGGTGGATCACTACAGTCCTGTCAGACCTGGAGTGATATTGTTACATGTTAAGGTTGATCACTACAGTCCTGTCAGACCTGGAGTGATATTGTTACATGTTACCTGGAGTGATATTGTTACATGTTGGATCACTACAGTCCTGTCAGACCTGGAGTGATATTGTTACATGTTAAGGAGGATCACTACAGTCCTGTCAGACCTGGAGTGATATTGTTACATAATAAGGTTGATCACTACAGTCCTGTCAGACCTGGAGTGATATTGTTATATGTTATGTTTGATCACTACAATCCTGTCAGACCTGGAGTGATATTGTTATATGTTATGTTTGATCACTACAGTCCTGTCAGACCTGGAGTGATATTGTTATATGTTATGTTTATGTTATGTTTGATCACTACAGTCCTGTCAGACCTGGAGTGATATTGTTACATGTTAAGGTAGATCACTACAGTCCTGTCAGACCTGGAGTGATATTGTTATATGTTATGTTTGATCACTACAATCCTGTCAGACCTGGAGTGATATTGTTATATGTTATGTTTGATCACTACAGTCCTGTCAGACCTGGAGTGATATTGTTATATGTTATGTTTGATCACTACAGTCCTGTCAGACCTGGAGTGATATTGTTACATGTTAAGGTTGATCACTACAGTCCTGTCAGACCTGGAGTGATATTGTTACATGTTAAGGAGGATCACTACAGTCCTGTCAGACCTGGAGTGATATTGTTACATGTTAAGGTAGATCACTACAGTCCTGTCAGACCTGGAGTGATATTGTTACATGTTAAGGTAGATCACTACAGTCCTGTCAGACCTGGAGTGATATTGTTATATGTTAAGGTGGATCACTACAGTCCTGTCAGACCTGGAGTGATATTGTTACATGTTAAGGTTGATCACTACAGTCCTGTCAGACCTGGAGTGATATTGTTACATGTTAAGGAGGATCACTACAGTCCTGTCAGACCTGGAGTGATATTGTTACATGTTAAGGTGGATCACTACAGTTCTGTCAGACCTGGAGTGATATTGTTACATGTTATGTTTGATCACTACAGTCCTGTCAGACCTGGAGTGATATTGTTACATGTTAAGGTTGATCACTACAGTCCTGTCAGACCTGGAGTGATATTGTTACATGTTAAGGTAGATCACTACAGTCCTGTCAGACCTGGAGTGATATTGTTATATGTTAAGGTAGATCACTACAGTCCTGTCAGACCTGGAGTGATATTGTTACATGTTAAGGAGGATCACTACAGTCCTGTCAGACCTGGAGTGATATTGTTACATGTTAAGGTTGACTTCAGTCATGTCAGACCTGGAGTGATATTGTTACATGTTAAGATGGATCTCTTCAGTCCACTCAGACTTGGTCACCGTTTCGGGAGATGGTCGTTGTTATGACAGCACTGGTGAGGATATTTTAAGGCTAAACACACGGGATATTTAAAGGAGGGAAACTTAAAATGACAGAGTACATGTGAATGGAACTCCACACAACAATGATCAGAGAGGTAATATCTAATAGATGGTGTCAAAAACGGCAGACAGCCTGCTTCAGTACTTTTTTATTGTATGAAAAATATCTATAATTGAAAAGACAAGCAGGTGTTTATGTCAGATAACCAGTTACACAATAAACATATTCTGCATGCTCTGCTAGCCCAGTTAATTGAACATTATTAGAAGTGATTTTTGGGTGTTTAGCTGGTTAGTCCAGAAAGGTAAACAGCATTAGAAGTAATTTTTGGGTGTTAAGCTGATTAGTACAGAAAATTAAACAGTATTAGAAGTGATTTGTGGGTGTTAAGCTCGTTAGTCCAGTAAATTGAACAGCATTAGAAGTGATTTGTGGGTGTTAAGCTGATTACTACAGTAAATCCAATAGTATTAGTAGTTACTGATGGGTGTCAGGATGAGAACTTACCAGAGAAGCCTGCTCCTATGATAATGTTTCTACAAGCAGGGTGTCTGTCCAATACGAAATCATGGTCCGGTGTATTCTTAGAGAAAAAAAAAGATGAAATGTTATATTGTTATATAGGTATTACTTGTAAAGCGTAACTGAACTATTTATTTCTTTTATTATATAATACTATATTGCCCAAAAATATGCACGTTTGGTGGGACATTGCACGGGCAAAGGGTACTCTGACATCTGTATTGGATGTCTATGAGTCGGTCTGCGGTTAACTGGAGGATACTTGACAGAACTTTCCAAGAGATTGAATTTTACTAAAGAGTCGCACGTGCAGGGTGGGTATCATCCAAAGCAACAAGTTATAGATGGTTTTGACGTTAAGAAGCCGTATAAACTCTAATTAACGTATCAATCCATAATTGATACGGACACTTCAAATCTTAAAATGAAATGGCATTGCTGGATGACAATCATCGGTTAACACTGACTGATAAAAAATTTATAAGTGATGTTGAATGTTCATACCTGTCATAGAACTGTGTGGTCATGTGTGGTCAACACAGACTGATAACACACGCGGTGCTGAATGTTTATACCTGTCATAGAACTGTGTGGTCATGTGTGGTCAGCACAGACTGATAACACAAGTGTTGAGGAATGTTTATACCTGTCATAGAACTGAGTGGCCATGTGTGGTCAACATAGACTGATAACACACGTGGTGATGGATGTTTATACCAGTTGTGGAACAGAGTGGTCATGTGTGTATGTGAAATGATGTTTTCGTCAATCTCGCTCGAACACCTTAACCAATGTATAACATTCATTCTTAGGTGAAAATAAACAAAAATGAGTTCAGATAACGAAACTCGTTTATTCTATTGCAATACTGATAGCTGTACCGTGTAGATAGTATATTGATATGAAAAAATGGTCCATTTATGGTGCAAATATATGGTGATTCGATTGTTTATTTTGTGTAAGGTATGATAACGCTTAATGTGGAGACTTCGGTTAAAACAAACAGCCTGGATAATTGGATACAAGGTAGATCTATTAAGATGTCACGGATGAAGACATGTGTATACGTCACCTTTACTTACTGTGTAAATGCAAGTTTCTGTGATAGCGGGATGAGCCTCAAGAAGTGGAAAGTGTTCGGCCGCAAATTGTTTAATGGCATCCAGCACCCAACTGCTGTCAGTATCGTCCCTCCTGTCAGGGTCAATCTCGGGACCGGAGTGCAAACACTGCTGCAAGTATTATTATTATTTCTTCTTTAGATATATCAAAAATCTGGCCAATTTGTCGTAATCTAGTTTCGAAATTCTTTACCGAGGTTTACATATTATCATTATGCCAACCTCTTGTTTACATGTTCCAATGAATACAGTACGGTTACTAAGCGGGTTTATTACCTGTTTGGTATTTTCATATACAAACCATACTATTAATTTATTTTAAAACCATATCTGCTTTACATTAAAACAAAAAAATATTTTTAACCACGTTTAAACGTTTTCAAGCCCTACCTTGTTAAATTATAACTTACTTAGTTTTTAACCTCAAAATTGGCCTTTCTGTATTGAATAGTGTGAATATAGTATACATATAAGTGATTTCCAAATTTCTTTTTATTTTGATAACCTTATACAATCCCGGGTATTCCAAGCTCGGCAAGCCATACACGTCAAAATTCCTAATCGCATTGTCTTCCAGAAATATTGGAAACGTTTCGGCTCCGTATGTTCCTGGAATTTTCTCTTTCCAGTAAAAGACACTGATACGCAAAACCTGAAAAATAATTATCAATAAAAAAACAAGCCTCAAGCATACACATCCGGTAAGACATTGACTAATCTGATATTCAAAATGAACCCGGTACGAGGAATAGATGGACGTTTTTGATGCTCATTAGTTTACCTGTTGGTTGCGCTGCTGTACACATTGTTCTCATTTAAGAACGTGGCATAACTTACTCGTATAGACCAAAATATTTACATGGCAGGTTTTGTCGATGAAGCAGAAGACGATTACCCACCCTTCCCGAACACCTGGTCTCATTATTATCTTTGTAACTTTTCAGTAGTTTCCGTGTAAATCTTTCTTTTGTTCGCATTTTTATTGATTTTGAGTTTGGATTATAATTACGTTGACATTTTGGTGCTTTTTTTCCTTTGATATATAACTAATGTATTTCAGCAATGTTGCCATGTTATATATAAAATGTAAAAGTTCCTTGCGATTTGTACAATTTAAAAATATCTATTTGTTGTAACCTGGTGGCTACGTTTTAATTCAAACACGTGACGATTCATGACCTTCGTCTGAATTATTCAGACATAAGAAAGAATTGAATTTTGATCTAGTGTATCTTCTCTTAAACCTAGTGCAACTCGACCTTTTACAGAATTAACAAGAAAATATCAACTTTTCCTCTTTTCCTCATACTGACCTTCTAACAACTGAAGCCATATGGTATTTGTAGTTCAAACAAACTAATCTGCACATTTTTGAAAACAAATGATATAAGATGGATTTTGAAAACCTTGCATCTAAATCTTAATGCCATAACGTTGGTGAAGATTCACTTCACCTTCTTGATGTGGACGTTCATCATATCCAGAGAAGCTTAGGGTTGTCATCTGTGTACCTTACCTTGAGTGGTATATGGATGCCAAGAGAAGGAAGTACTTTGGTGGCCCAGGGTCCTACTGTCAGGACTAGGTTCCGGCCTCTATAGCTACCCTTATTGGTTTTTACTGTTACAATATCCCCCGGAGATACGTCCACCATGGCCTCGTTATCACGCAAAATACCTCCTTGCTTAACAAACTGGCCCTGGAATGACAAGGAATTGTTACTTGAAACCCACCTTATGTGCATAAATACAATTAATATATACAGTAAAACACGATTATACTGAGGACGGACATTAGCCGTCTTCTAGGACGTACATGGTACCCCAAGATTTGTTAAAACTATGTAAATGGTGAACAAGATGCTTTGTGAAGTACGGGGTTGTTTATGTATTAGATAGTTTCTAAGCAATGTCATGCAATTTGTTTGTTTAAACATCTGGCTTCATATTATTTTTTAGGGGTTTAAAACTCATCTCACAGTGAATATTTACTTCTCAAAATCTATCAAAATGACTATTACCTGAAAAGCCGCCAAGGCTTTGTCAGCAAACAACACTCCTCCGCTATGGTCCTCAACACCCGCTATGTCTTCAGGGTAGTTCAGCATTGGATACTTCTGTCGCAAGACTTGTCCGTCAAGTGAGGTGAATGGCAGTGAGTACTTACGGAGTGCCCTTACCGTTCCATCAATTTGATCGTCTCCAACTTTCCCGACCACAAGGAGGCCTGTTTTTCTGTGTAGAAGTAAGCAATATTTCCTGGAATTGAGTTGTCTTCTCTTGTTTTATAATGTGTCTTTTTGGAGCACTCATTCTAACTTAATGCCCTTAAGAAGATGATTTTGTGTACGACATGGATTAACAGTTATAATTTGCCGTTCAATCCGTCAGTGACTGTAGCATGTTGTGTAAACTAAACTTACATGCTATAATAGATTACGTTACAAGGTTGGAACAATATAATCAGCTAACAAGGTAACCAAAAGTCATTATGATGTCATTTCTATAACAACGTTTGTGGGTATTGTTTGCTCAGGGCAAATATATTTCATAGCACTCTAAATCATTACCACTGGTAAAACAGTTAAACGTTTCACTCAGAAATTAGGCGGACTCTATGTTAATTTTGGTGATGTTTTCGGTATCTGTTTTGTGAGCTTGACAAATGCAGTAGAGTGGCGTCAACAGCCTACTCCGAATTCAACAGATATTGTACATAAGCAAACGTCGATTGAATACTATAAAACTATATTTAGCATTTCTCTCCATTCATTGTCTTTGCTAACATCGAGTAATTGCAAGATTTTGTGTATTCATAAACATCGACGAACGTAAAATCTTACTTATATAAAGTAGTTCCAGATTCATTTTCTAGTACCTCCCATAATTTGTACGCCTCCTTCATCATCTCCGTGTAGTAATCGTCACTGCCATAGGCCATCCGGGTGATTCGGCTTTGTCCATGGGAACTTCCACGAGAATGTGGAAGGGGAAACTGTAAAAGCATTGATAACAGACTACTGATGGTTTTGTTAGCAAGCAATCGTGTTGTTACTTGTGCTTCAATGTATAGTGTTAGTGTACAAAGGGAAATTATTATATAAATCCTAGAAAATAAATTATCATATCCCTTTTATGTTAAAAACGGTATCTTACAAGACTGCATCGTCGGAATATACCATGTCAAAATTCAGGAATGTCGAGGGGTCTTTGTTATACACCATAATACTACTGTTTCAGGTTCTTTATTTGTATTCTAAGGTATTTTTTGTCTTTTGTACAATCTTTTGATATCTAAAGGTGGACATTTTGTAGGGATTCTATTAGCTCGGTTTATGATATCGCCATCAACAAGTGAATCATCTTATTTTATACAACATAAACTAAAGAACTGTAGCTGAGTACTTGTGACATATTACACACTGCGTAACGGGGATGAAGTCCATTTTGTTTATATGATTTCCTTTAGTTTATTACATTTATCAAATATCAAAATTAGATTTTAAATGAGATCAAATAATCTGTTATGGTGTTTATATTTTGATGTTATTTCCACACAGGAAACAATTGTTGTTATGAAGAGTCAATAGTAACTATTAACCCCCTACCACAAATGTAAACCCCCTCAATCAATGTTAACCCCCTCCCACCAATGTAAACCCCCTCCCACCAATGTTAACCCCCTCCCACCAATGTAAACCCCTCCCACAAATGTAAACTCCACCCACCAATGTAAACTCCTCCCACGAACGTATACTCCTCCCACCAATGTAAATCCCCTCCCACCAATGTTAACCACTCCCACAAATGTAAACCCCCTCCCACAAATGTAAACTCCTCCCACAAATGTGAACTCCTCCCACCAATGTAAACTCCTTCCACCAACGTTAACTCCTCCCACCAATGTAAACCCCCTCCCAAAAATGTGGACCCCTTCCCACAAATGTAAACTCCTCCCACCAATGTAAACTCCTTCCACCAATGTGTGTGACGTGTACATGTAGGGATTAGATATTATTATTATGTTAACCATGCTTTTATGAAGCAATATCTCTAAGAATGTATTCTAAACGAGGAGAAAAAACTGGCTTCTCAACAGCGTTTTATTTTAAACTAGAATCAGTCGAAAAAATAGGGAAAATAGGAATAAAATGATTTACGGGGAGATTCCTGAACTCAAAATACAGAAAATACACCAGTTGATATTTATATGGAAAAACAAGAAAATACCAACATGTCAAAAATTTCATAACCCGACCTCATATGGAAATGATTCTAAGGCAAAATATGAACAAAGGAAAGTTTTACATGAACAATCCTGAAATAAAATAAGGTGTTCCGGAAAAAGAAGCGCCTTCTGCTTCGTCGAAAACATCAGCAATGTAAATTTGGTTCGTCTAAGTAATGTCACGTTCTTGAATGAGAACAAAATATACAGCAATGGACCAAACAGTCAAAACTAACGAGCATCAAACACATCCAGCTTCATATTGCACAAAGAAATAAAATATCTCTCAATGAGATCTTTTCTTCAAATTGCATATTTTGAAACCCTGTATTACGATTCAGTTGACGACTGCTTTTAAGAAAATCATGATAATGGGAACATTGAATATTGAGTCAACTGCGACATGTAAGCATTAAAGGTTGATGAAGCAGATGTTGCTACCTAGAAATATGATAATTGGAATCATCACGCTTATCATACAGCTTGGTGGAAAGATTTCCATATTGATTTCTTTGTAGGTAAAGATCTAGATAAACGACTGATGTCGAAGAGTCTGTCGTAATACCATATACAGATACTTATCCTAGGACCATAGTAAGCTTATTATTCGATGTTGTCTTTACCTTCCTTGTATTTATAACACATATCCACCTCTTCGGTAGTACACGCACGGGGTTTGTCAGAAGAGTTATGAAACTATATTGAAAGGGTACAAAGAGTTTTCAGATATCATCTCCAATACCTCAGCTATATTTGTATACACATTGTCTGAGTACTACAATATCTAAGACTTGGCTTTTAAATATGGTGGCTTATTATTGTACCGAAAATTCGCCAAGCTAAAACACAAAATAACGAAAAGGAAAACATCTGCCCTGTCGATAAATGAAAGAAAATAAAGGATGTAAAATCGAGAAGAACTCTCACTTGTTGAAGTAACAAGGTGTGATGTCCATTCTTGACCAAGTGATAAGCTGTGGACGAGCCTTCTATTCCAGCCCCCACCACGATCGAGTCGTACACCTCCATTTTTGTACGTATGCGATACGATAAAGTAAAGTGATACCTTGATAACGAACGTTTGGCCACAAGGAAGTAATATGTTGAACAGTCCAGATGTTAGGATCACAGCCAGTAACATCTATCCCATTTCTGTTCAAGCAGAATCTTAGTATCAACGTGATACCTTGATAACGAACGTTAGAAAACAATTATGTAATATGTTGAGCAGTCCAGATGTTAGGAGCATAGTCAGTAACATTTATACATTTCTGTACATACAAAGATCGGAATAGGAAGGAGAATTATTTATTCCTAAAGAAAAAATAAAATACTCTACCAATTGGTGTAAAAGCATACTTCAAATGTTTTCCAAAATAACCTATGAAAGGAAAATGAGAGACATGTTTCCCTTGGCCGTTACGATCTCCTTCTTCGTGCAGTGCATTTCCGTGATTACTGAGCGTTCCCTAGTGTTAATAATATTCCGCTATAGCCCAATGCGTACGCCCAGTGTTACCAAGTTTATAGCTTGGGCTAGTGTAAATGGCAGGCCAACTAGCCCATGGCCAGTGAATTTCTTTAGACGTTTTTTCCCCAGCGGACACTTAAGAATTTATAATCATTTCTTATCATATAATCTAAAGCATATAACATTAGAAGTATTTCTTGAATTAAAAACTAGAACAATGTCAATTTTCCCATACCGTGTCATGCAAGCTTGGCAAAAGTATTGGGTTTCTTTATATATACAAAGAAATATTCAGAGGATAAATCTAACTGTAAAAAAAAAAAAACAACCATTGGTCATCAAACACTTGGTAAATTCACCTACCCAAAAGCCGTAAAAAAAAAAACTTGCTAAAGCAGGGGCAGCCATATTTGTTAATGATGCATTCTAACTGCTGGAGCCGGAATCCGGACAGTTTTTCCGACTTTTATCCTCCGATTTTCAGTGTATTTGTATGATATATATACATTACAGTCTTTTGTAAAAAGGTTTTCCAGTTAATTCAATCAATCCATTGAGAAAAAGTAATATATTTCTTTAGTATTTCACGTAGTTTTGGAAAAAAATTGAGACTAGCAGAATAATATTTCGGCAAGTGGTTCCAACAGGCTACTAGCCCCGGGCAAGTTCATGTACAATGAAAGAACACCCTAATCACCTTACAAATTAAACATTGACTAGTCCAACACCTCTAACATCTTTTGGGTTATCCAGATTTGGTTCCATGATTAGTTTCTACCGCACGACATTTTTAACCCTAACTATATGTATATATAATATTGTTTTCCAGTAAACACATATTGGTTTTATGATTTATCACTATATTTATTTTTTATATCAATTACAGTGTGACAATCACGTACAGAATGATGAATATAATGCACGAACTGATGTGTATCATAGTGTTTCCTAATTCAGCTTTAGCCGATATATGTATTTTCAAAACTTTTATATGAATTTTGATGTATTTTTATACTTTTTTATTTATAGTGCGCACGACTTTAATGAACACAATATGTTCCTTTAGATGGCTGTCACCGTTACGGTCGCTGCGTTTATACTGACGACAGAACCAAACTGATTATCAGTGTAAACAACTACAATCCGGGATATTTCTGGTTATAATATTGTAACGACTTTATCTGTAAAGTCAACAAAGATGTCAGAAGCCATGTTTACTCCAACACCAAAAAAAAAGAGACTTTTATCAGCATACAGACTAGGATGATGATATCAGGAAAATTGTATGTATACGACAAAACTCCATCAGTCAGAGTTTGTTTACCTGTAAACTATTGGGTTATGTCTACCCTTCTGAGCATACATTGATCGTCAGGGCACTTGACCTGTATTAGTTATATCTACTTTACATGGAGAAAGTGTATGATGCTATCGTGGTGGGAGCTGGAATTCAGGGAAGCTCAACAGCTTATAACCTTGTCAAAAATGGCCAGCATACCATGCTCCTTGAACAGGTAAGGAACGTGATTTCGATACGCATAGCTAAATATACGAACAATATATATGGCTGATGACTGATGTGATGTCATTTGAATTATTGGATGAGGGATATGAAATACATGTTTACTGAAGCACGCCTTCAAATTCATTATTCATTTATATTCAAACACAGATTGAGGGTAGTAGACACTGTTGGTGGATATTTATTGTCCGCCGTTAACCGTAATCTATATGCATTGTTTTAATTCACTCATGCACCTGTCATTCGTTTGAAATCGTCCTATTTATTTAAAAAAAAAGACGCATGCTTAGAAAGGCTAAGATGATAATAATCACTGATACGGATTTCGTTATTTGATCATGAAACTATTGACCTGATCTGTTAAACAAATAAAAATATGTAAACAATGATAGAACGGTCCCTCCTAACAAATGGTTAAAGTAGCAAAATCAATTTCACACTTTTTCAACAAATACTCCTAAATATAACTGCTTGAAACTGATAACCAAATCATTCATCAACTTATTCACAAACCCTTAACAACTATTTCACTGGTAATTCTTGATAATCACCTGATCTTGATCTACCTCATAATCGTTGAACCATTTTTGTACTGGAAGTATGATGGCATGTCAAATATGACAGATTTCTGTAAAACGTTTTGCTATAGCATTAATTCCCTCATTTGCTAACTCAATTTTCATTAATGGTCGATTTTCTAGAGAATCGCTTCTCTCCGTACATACAGGTTCAAAACTGACATGTTTCCATTCACATAACACTACCCACCTTATCCCAGCACCTTCCATACATCGTTATTTGGTTTGGAGAAACACATTCCCGAATGATTTTGTTTGATTGTTGAATATTCCATATAATGCAGCATTATCAACGTATATATATAGGAATGACAGGTACATCTACGGTAGAACGTCACACAGCGCCGGAAACAGAAGTCCTGTCTTCTGTAACCATCAGATTCTGATGTATATAGTTATATGTAATTGTTCATGGATAGGGTTTTTAGTTGTTTAAAAACTGTGCCACGTGGACACACAGGTTCTCGAACTGCCACAAGGAAATGGCTACTATATGATTCCTAAACCAATAAGCTGACTTTTAACTTTAATAAAATTTAATCAATTTAGACTTAGTATAATCAAATATCTACATTGTTTTTTAAATCCACAGTTTCCTCTCCCGCATTCCCGGGGAAGTTCCCACGGGCAAAGTAGGATTATACGGAAAGCCTACGGGAGTGAGGGGTATCACTACACGGAAATGATGCCGGAGGCTTTCCGACAGTGGAAGACGCTAGAACAAGAGACTGGAATCACTTTATTCAAGTACACAATTAGTTAAATATTGATAAAATATCAACTTTATTTATTTTACAACAATTGCGAAATAAGTTATTTGGTCTGGCAAGTGACTTGTTTTCACGTCCGTTCCGGGAACTTCGGACGGCTAGGTGAAAGGCAAGTGTATTACCACCCAGTAACCATGGTTATATCTCATCTCAAATAATCAAATAAATATACCTAAATGAATTAGACACGATATAATTTCCATTCTTTGTAAAGTTTATTATAAGAATAGGTTAAAGTATTTCTAAATAAACATAACGAATACCATAAACAACATTACAACTAATGATCTAACACTTATTGAAAAAAGGCAGACTGGCATCCTTTTTTGCGGAACGGATGGAGAAACTTTTATGACTGATGTACTCAAGTCGTTACATAAGAATTCCATGCCGTACACTTCGTTGGATTCAAAAGACTTACCGGAGAAGTATCCAATGCTGTGTTACCCCCCAGACTCTATAGGAATAGAGGACCCTTCAGGAGGAGTGTTGTTTTCAAACAAAGCGCTAGTGGCATTCCAGGTACTCTTGTTTCAGTCTGGAACTCTTAACTTAGTCTTGGCGGGCTGGTTCGAACTTTGGACCTCACAAACCTTGGTTATTGTATCCAAACAAAACTATTTTTAACCCAGAGTGTCTTTTTCTAATTATGCTATTGTATTTTTACAGTTAAAGATTTTTGTTTTAACACAGTCAATTTTTTTGTAGGCTATTCTAACAGGGGGCGCAACTACCCTGGTATTTAATGCACCCTGAAGTTAGTTCTCTCATGCAGTAGTAATGATTCTCTTCAGTTGGTATGCTTGCTCCAAACGCATTATGTTTGATGTACGTCCACTGAAGTACTCTCTCTTTGATCGATAATATAGTCTCCTCTATGTTCACTTCATTTGACACTTTCTAAGATATTGTTAATCATTGGTAATGGTACAAAAATCCAAACTGTAAAGAAGCCACTTGTATCCGATCGTTTTCCAGTAATATGCCTAGACAAAGCTCGCAAGAAAATTCTGTAAAAGTGTTGTGATTGTTTCAGAGTGAATTTATTAAGCATGGAGGCGCCTTGTGTGACAATGAGTCGTTAGTTGATATAATCCCGGGTGATATTGTGACAGTAAAAACAAGCAAGGGCAGATATAAAAGCCGGAACCTGGTCCTGACAGTTGGACCCTGGGCAACCAAACTACTCCCTCGCCTTGGTATCCATTTACCATTAAAGGTGATGTATAATATTTCTTTCGAATTACTTATTTAGCTTTTAACGATGAGATTTGAGGAAATACACATCAGAATCTTATTAATTTTCCTTAATATTCTCATCAATAATCCTCGAAGAAGGTTTGATCTATTTGCTTTTATATGAAATTCATGGAATTGCGCACATAATAACCGTTGAATGTTAACGAAATAGACACGGCTGTCAGAACAGTTAAATAATTCATGCTTTAAAAGTAATCATTTTTATTTTTTCCAAGCCGTTTTTCTTTTAAGATATTATCATTTCATTTTGTTCTACATTGTGTAAGCGGCGTGCAATGGTCGATTCAATTAAATGACGTCATGATTAACCAATACCACTCGTTATAAGTATTTAAATATTTCCCTGATTCCTGCACGGGTTTCAATCTAACAAAAAGCCATTAGTTTTCAACGTTAGTCTGCAGATAGTAATTAAACATTGAAGAAGTCATGTTATTTTTGTTTGTTACAAAGGCATTGCGAGTCAGCGTGTTTTACTGGAAGGAGAAAATTCCAGGAACCTACAGCGTGGAAAAGTTCCCGGTCGTGATTCAGGAGCATGGCACTTCAAACAACCATTTTTACGGATTGCCTTGCCTGGAATATCCAGGCTTGTTCAAGGTAAATGGATTCATTTATTATTACCGGGAGACCTTTACTTTGGGTTAGTGACCCAGCGTAGCATCGCCTTATCACAGCATACATTTACTCTTGGTTACTGACCTATTACCATCTGTTGTTGACCTAGCGCTGTCTCCCCTTATCAACTGAATCCACCTTTCACTGACCTGGTCAAACAGACATTTACTATCGGTTACTGACCTAGCGTAACGAAGGAATGCCTGATCAAGACATTTATGTCTGGATTTGGCAATGATAACTTGTCATTGATGTACTTTCAATGGGTATCATACGTAATGGATTACGTAACATTTATAAGTTCTGCGAACTCAATATGCCTACATCTCTGACCGAAAAAAAATCATGCTGATTCACTACCTAACACGTATGACGTTGGCGACGAGCTATTAAGTAGACGACGTTTAGATAGATTTTTTGTGGGCATGGTTGTTTCGAAGCTTTGCTATACTGACTCTTTCCACAACACATTTAACTAATCTGGCGATGGGAAAGAGCAAGACGACTTCAACTGGACGTCCAATAACGTACATTTCGTCTATCATACCTTAAACGATGTCCACATTCAGTCACATAATCTAACGTAGTTATGGTGTACTAAGATCAGTGGTTTTTAAGTCGTTAGTGTGATTAACGTGAACGTCATTATACTGTATATACACTTATCTGTACGTAGTTCTGTTGCCATCATGGACCGGAAGTTGATCCCGACAAACGAGATGACGTAGACTCGTCCTGGGTACTTGAGAAGACAAAGGCATGCATATCGAAGCAATTCCCTCTTTTGGAGCCTATTCCCGCTATCACGGAATCTTGTATATATACAGTACGTACGTTAATTTGTCCAACAATCATTGACTGCTACTGAATAATACAGTCGGTGATAGGTTCCTCTATCAAGCTTTCCTCCTTCCTCTTTTTGCACGTATCGATAACAACCTTCTGTCTTATAGACTGATACCCTCTTTTTTGTTCTGGTCTATTATCTACTTTCATTTAAGCATTTGTATCACGCGATGTTTCTTTTATTGTGGTTATATTCTTCTACAGAGGCAAAAACATTTTACAGTCTACTGTATGCCTGCAAATCCCTGTCATTCATAACAGATATAACGTCATTTCACGACCGTACAATGCATATAGATATATCAGTGGCAATTTGCCCCTTTATCAAGGTACAAGTATTACATAAGTTACATCACATACATGTACAAGGAACATAAAACAAATAAAGTTATAAACTAAAATCGAGAACGGTAGGGTAAATTTAGGTGTCTCCACACTATAAGATCTTTATAATTCTGCTGAAAATAATGTTAGAGGATAGGTCAAGACTTTGAAAGGCTAATAATGATAAAGTTGTTTCAGCAATGACAATTTTTGATACACATTGTGTTACTATGAGGATTGCACGAAAGAAAAACAAATAACAACACCATTCAAACACATATTTGCTACAATACTAGATTTAATTGAGAAACACAGGCATTTTAGAACTGGGAGAAATTCAAAATTTATGTCCAATCAAAGATGGGGAGGCGAACTAAATCTTATAACTCACAAAGCAGGAGAAATTGGTACTCATATAAATAGGTAGTGTTAGGATATGACTTAACTCGATATCGTTACATTTTAGTGGTTTCTAGTGAATAAGTGTTGATGTTATAAATAATGTTAATTAATTTGTAGGAATATTCTGCAACTTTGTTACACATGACTTGATCTAAAGTAGTTTTTAATTGCACGTGTTGGATAGACTCGGCTATTATTATCATCATTAAAAATTAAGCAGCACGCGACATTTTCTTTAATATAATGTCCATTTTAGGTGACGCCGGACAATAACTACGTGTTAGATAGACACCCAGACATGAGCAATGTGATCATCGGAGCAGGATTTTCTGGTAAAGAAAACATTCCTATTTGAAACTAAAAGCGCTTTTATATTCCCTGATGTATCTATATAAAAGAAAAACACAATCAAGTGCCTTTAATAGACATGTATCATTGGTTTTAATGACAAAAACAATCAAGTGCCTTTCATAGACATGTATCACTGGTTTTAATGACAAACACAATCAAGTGCCTTTCATAGACATGTATCACTGGTTTTAATGACAAACACAATCAAGTGCCTTTCATAGACATGTATCATTGGTTTTAATGACAAACACAATCAAGTGCCTTCCATAGACATGTATCATTAGTTTTAATGACAAACACAATCAAGTGCCTTTCGTAGACATATATCATTGGTTTTAATGACAAACACAATCAAGTGCCTTTCATAGACATGTATCATTAGTTTTAATGACAAACAAAATCAAGTGCCTTTCATAGACATGTATCACTGGTTTTAATGACAAACACAATCAAGTGCCTTTCATAGACATGTATCATTGTTTTAAAAGCAGATTCAATTTCTGCCAAGTCAATATTATAAGACATTGATATGTAACATACTGCCCTATGAATTCATTTGATGAGTGATTCGATAAGAATATAATTCGGACCATGTTTCATTTTATCATTCCGTGACTTTAAATGTTAACATGCATGTTCATAAACGTACCTGAGACGTGAAATAGAATGATAATTATAAATGTTGAAATTGACATTAATTAGATGCTTCGATATCACTTGAATCTCTTCGTATACAGTGGATTTTACACATCTTATCGACTACAATTACCACCAGATGCACTTGTTTGTTCTTATTGACATGGCCATTAAATGTAAATTAACGGGAAAAGGTGACTAATCTTTGCTTTATGTCTACTTGAAATCAGTCAATCATTATATACATATACTAGATTTGCTGTACCTATCTGAAGCACTGCGTGATCTAGAAACAAAACAAATGTTATTGCATTAATTTCACAGCGAGAATTCAAAGTGTTAACTCGTGTTAAAAAGTCTGGTAAATCCCTGTATGTTTATCTACTACTGTATCAGCCAGCGTTGCTTATACATATTTGTCTGTATGTTATTACCTATATGAGGTGGTAGACACTGCTAGTAGAGTGAAAGTCTCCGAAGCTTGCCATAATCTGCATGCCAAGCTTTAATTCATCCAGATAGCGGCACGATTCAGAATATATACATGTACTTGAAATTGCTAAATTTATCGAATAATGGGGCTTCTGCACAATCCCCTCCAACTTCTAAAATATTGATAACTTCGTATTTGCCTCCGTCGCCAAACAAAGGTTCTTGGAAGGACAAGACAACTATATGATTCAGTTTAATTTCATTATTTGACGAAAAAAAGTTATTTTCTTGTGTGTCTTTTGTACAATCCTTGACAGGTGCTTCTTTCTCATTACAGGACACGGATTCAAGTTGGCACCGGTAGTAGGGAAGTTACTGTGTGAACTCGTAATGCACAAGACATCATCTTACAATATGTCTCATTATAAAATCAAACGATTTTACAATTCGTCAAAACTATAAACAGAAACGTGAGAACCGTTTTGTTATCTCATGACTGTAGTACAAAACTCGACGCCTTAAGCATTTGATCATGAACGTCGACGTTAGAGTCAATTTGTCAAGTCAAACTTGTATTTATGTCATTCTATTAGCTTACTTAATAAAACAAAATGTTGTTCTCACGTGATACTTTGAGGCTACAGGTGATTTCATGTTATAACATTTGAAAGGGTTAGTTATAAACGTGGCAATCTTTATTTCAGACCAATAAATCTTGATCTCTAAAACCTTCGATATATAGTTACTATATACTATTGGGTGTAAGTCTGAGAGAAATTTATTAAATCAGATTTAAGACGATGATCTTAAATCTCTATATGATTAATTGAAGTAAACAAACAGGACTAGAATAAATGACGTGTGATCTATCAACAAAAAATTCTACTGTTTCGCTATTGATAACCCATATATGACCCTTGTGTGAGATAATAAAAACAAACAAAAACAAAACAAATAAACATATATACAAACAAAACACAAAACATCGGCGACACCCGCCAGGTAAATCTTACCAAATGTGAACACGGTGACCAGCACCGAAGGTACTAGATATTCTCCATAAATCAGACTAATAGTAATAGGATGATCAGAATCTATATGACTTGATAATGAGAATTTATCATTTAAACAGTTGTACCAAATGACTGGCGTAGTATATACTACAACCAATTCTTCATTTATTTCTAATTTTTATGTAATGTTAAATAACTATAAACTCAAATCAAATATTCGATTGTTTTTCCTTTTTAGTAGTACGCTGAACAAAATACGGCACACCCGCTGCGTGCTATATAATGCAAGTTAAGCTAAATGTTTTGTAGAAAGTGCTACAGGAAAGGATATAACCAATAGCTTGGATATTTACCCGAGGGTTCAAGGTATATTCATTCTATCGTGGCCAACAATTATGCATTTTTCGTATGGAAAGTTTTGAAATATATATCTATATATAAATAAGATGAATACAACCATTTTGTCTTTGAGGAAAATTTGTGATATACACTTATCTGTCGCTTGTTTTTCTTCTTATCAGATGAATTGACTTATGGGGAAACCTTTGTATCGAACCTAGACCATCATGTAATTACCAATGATTAGGACAGATTTTTTTAATTAAAATTCGAAAGGTCGCAAAGGAAAATTAAAGCCATTGGTCTTATCGCATGTAACTTAAAGATCATTATTGTAGAAAGATGATCACAGTAAGTTCCAAGTTACATTATTTTATCCCATGTACGTTTATGAATCATACGCATTCAGCAATGATAGAATTTCCTTCTATCGTTATATAGAAACTGGACAAAGAAAAGAAGATAGAATGGAGGTTTTGCCAATAATCGACTGGAGTACAATAAGATAAAATCACCTCTCTGTTCTGAATCCAAATTGAAATATCAAAACTTCCTTGCAATGTTGCTATTATTGGGATAGGTGCGCATATAAAATGCTTGTCCTTTTCAACGAAAAACAAATGGTAGCTGTTAGTAAACCGGCCACAGCGATTGCCGATTTGTAAGAGATTTATATATGTATTTCTAACATATAAGCACATTGTAAAACCCACACACGTGTTAATGGTGTAAAACAAATGAAACTACGAAATACATATGTTCCATCCTTCTAAGCTCTTTTGAAAGAGAATCGGTTTCCAGAAGTGTGAAAGAGCAGAAGGGAACTTTCGAGAAATATTCAAATAGATATGAATAGTATCCAAGTACTTTTAATGCATTAATTCGCATAATTAATGCTAATAATTATTCTGACAAATGTTAATTGTAAGCGACAAAACTATCCATATCAAAATTAGCTTTGGCTGAGAATAATCTTAGAATCATAACCATTCGATCAACGCGTTGTTTTAAATGCATGTTATAGTCCTTCAACATTTTGCCACAACATCACGAGCTCTGTATTCGTTTTTTATATCCAATTACTGACATCATAAATGTGATTTTGTGAAGCGATTCAACCTGAAGAAAGATATATCTTGTTCGGGAGTCTGCCCAGTTGCCATTTTCGCTAGGATGTCTCCTATCACTGGCGCGAGCTTGAATCCATGCCCTAGAACATACACAATACGTAACAATGACTTGTCTTAAGAAAATCGAAATCACCTATTTGGTGTGATCTGACCGAGAACAACGCACGTTTAATCATCAACAAAGTGTCAAATTGAAAAAAAACAAAATAGTTGCTTATATTGACTTGAATTTACAAAGTGGGCGTTGCCAACGATTCTTTTCATGTCTTTTTCTATATAAGTACAAAGACTAGACTAAGTGTATGTGTAAAATGATAAATGACTTGTATTTATGTCACAAGAGTATAAATGACATACCAGAGAATCCAGCTCCTATAACAATGTTTTCCCATGAGGGGTGATGGTCTAGTATGAAATCTTCGTCAGGAGTGTTCTGAAAAATATCAACATATCGATTTGATTAACACCCTAGTATTTAGCCATGTTGTCCGTTTAAAATGATTGTAAATTACAATTACTTTCTCCATTCTAAATGCATTTACTTCTTCAAGAATATTTTGCATGTGTATGAAAAATGCGCAAAATAATTCATCTTTCTTCATTTTTTTGGTCTAATATCTAGATATCATTTACGTCAGAGTCATTAGGATCTGATTGAGAAATATTCTATTTCTTTGTTCTCTTCCAGAACACCTGGTTGTATTCGTTCTGTTTTTTGTTCCCTGATAAGTTTTCTTTTGATCTTAGTTTACCATTGTTGTTTTGAATTTGATTTTAGATTTTCTTGCGACTTTGGTGCGAAAAGTTCTTAATTTGATTAAAACAATATTTCTGACTGACGGTATAGAATTTATGTTGAACTAATATATAATAAAATAATTATACAAACATGCTTACCATGTGTATACAAAGTTTAGGAAAAACGATAACGAGATGATTTATATATATACAAATATATACTTAAGGGATAAATATATACTCGGGGTGACATTATTTGCAACATCTTGCGAAAGCGTTCTTCAAAAACAATGATAATCGGTCAAGCTAGGTCATAGTGCACGTGGTCCTGTATCAAATGTTTCATTATTGTATTGCGTGACGATGTCTTCCAGGGAAAGCACGAAACGGGAAAATCTCGTGTACAGCAGCGTTGCGACATTCAGTTACATTGCTCGTCATAGCAATAGGTAGTCATCATAGAGACACATTATTTTACGGTATTTTGATTAATTTTATATAGCATGAAACAATGGCACGGCTGATGGAAGGCCATTGCGCTGACTATGCAAGGTCAAAGGCAAATACAGGTTGCCAGACATCTCATATTTGCGCGATAGAACGTCTAATGGAAACTGGGCAGGATGCTGACAGACGTAGGTCTGGGCGTCCGTACTTGAGGTGAAAACGTCAGGACAGGTTTATTCCTCTCGCACATTTGCGAAATCGGCACCTTACTGCCACTGAATCTGCCCTTCATGCCATAGGTACTCATAACCGTCATATCCATGCAAAAACGATTGCTGCAAGTTAGTCTGCGGGCAAGTCAACCGTTTGTAAGTCAGCCCCTTACCGCTGCTAGTCGCCAGCGTCGTATGGCTTGGGTTGCGGCACATGACCCCTGAATATTTTCATTGAAGCAGTGGAGGCGGGTCTTGTTTACTGATGAGTTCCGGTTCACCTTGCCAATGTAATTTTGTATAAATGATTTTTTTATTTCAGTGTGTATACAAGATTCTGTAGTGTGTTTTGTATTTCCTTTGTGTATACTGACTCTGTAGCAGGTGCATTTTATATTTACCGTATGATTAATTATGATTAAAAATAATTTTATTGAATTTCATAATATCCGTGTTTATGTTATCATATGATGCGTTTTCTTTTACCCTATGTTAACACGATTATGTAGTCTACTCCTATTTACCGTGTAGATACACGACTCTGTTATCGCAGGAAAAGGTTCCAGCCCCGGAATATGTTCCAGTATATACTTCTGGAGTGCCTCAACCACCCAACTATCATCGATCTTATCTCGGACGTTTGGGTCAATAGACGGGCCGTAATGCAAACATACCTGTCACAAATAAAAAAAAACCACATGTACCAATAACGTTGACATTAACGAATCAGTCAAAAGTAATTTATATCTGTATTCAATAGTGTTTACATAGACAGTCACAAAAAATTGACGCAGGTACCAATATTGCGTATGTAGACACACCTGGTACAATTAAATGACATACAAATCAGTTGTGTATGTAGACAAAACTGTTACAAGTAATTGACCACTTTACCAATAGTGTGAATGGAGACACACATGTAACAAATACCTGACACATGTACCAATAGTGTAAACGTATACACACATGTCACAGCTATTTGACACATTTGCCAATAGTGTAAACGTAGACACCTGTCACAACTATTTGACACATCCCAGACAATCGTTTCAATCACGTAAGTTTGTCCAGTGGGATAACGTCGTCCTAACGTTATACAAACACGTTATTAAAACGTTAACCCCACGTTTTATACACGTATATATTTAGTTATTGAAAATAAAATACAAGTAGACTTTTCTAAAACGATTTAGTAACGTGATCAAACCGTAAATAACGTTTCTCCGACGAATTCGTATTGTAGTTTAATTTTCTGCAATATTTTTGTATCGTTAATATACCATATCTGCAACGCTGCATCAACGTTTTTACTTCTTTAATTCTTTTTTTCTTAAATCATAGTGAACTGAATGCAGCCTCGTGTTGTATTCCCCTCATTTGCTTTGCTACTTGTGTACCTACGCTTTCCAGTGTACACCACACTGCCCTACAGGGACATGGAGGGAGAATTGTACCTGCTACCCCATTGCATGATCGTAAGGGGCGACTAAATCAGGGATCTTTATATTTTTGCCCTTTCCGAAAGATCTTTCTTCTTTCAAATTGTAACTCTTGACATGCCTCACTTTTAGCCTTATTTTGAGCATTGTGAGGGAGGCTTTGGTTTCTGTCATTCACCTTACATACACAGGGAGGCCGTCCTTAAAAGACCCTGGCTATCGATAGGACGTTAAGCAAACTAACCAAACACAAACCAAAGTGTACACCAAATCAATGCTATCTGTTATACACAAAAATAAATACAGTGTGATAAATGTATTTATTTTGTTTACAAAAAAATCATCGTCTTCATTCTGACTTGTTGTCACTGCTCGCGGATGTATTTGGTGTTTCTTGTACTGCTTCTGAAACGAAATAAAAAGTAAATACCTGGGTATCATTTAAATTTATAAATTTATGCTACTATATTTAAAACATATATTTTTTTCCAATTCAAAGTTGCTTAAAACAATACACAAATTGCATATAAGAATTACATGAAAATGTAATATGATTGATCTAAAATTAATATACTGGCAATCTAAACATGAAATTGCATATTGTTGGTTTGTTATCTTGATGTTTGGTCTTGCTTGTTTTCCGCCCGTACAACCGGTGCAAGCTGTATTTTGATTTTCTGTTCGGCTTCGGCATGTGTAAGTCCTACGTTTTTGACAGCATCTCCAAATAATTTTTTTTAAAGCTGGTTAATTAAATATGCCATCATACATCTAAAGTCCAAATTTGAAAAGTACTCCAAGATATATTACAACAGTATTACCTAAGACCGATTTTGCCAGGTTGGTTCAGGAAAATGACCTTTTCCCTCCTTTCTCGACCCAGTTGAATGACTCGGCAAGTTCATTATTTCTTGCAACCTCCATAATCCTCTTTATTTCATTTTCACTTTTATGGCCACGAAAGCTTGTGAGGTATATTAACTGTAATATATATATATTAATAGGTGTATCAATAATTTCCCGACAGGATGCATAATCGAAATCCACATTTTGAATCAAGACTAATTTGTGAAGTTATATTAAATTACAACAGCTTTATTTTTTTTCTCGCAGAAGATCCTCCGCCTTATGGAAGGTTTCCTCTGTTATTAGAGGAAATTAGTATTCTTCTTCAACGTTTAAGTCGTCTTCTTGCACTTGCTCATGTCGGCTTTTGAGGGCGTGAAGCAGGAGTGTGTTTTGTCTAACACGACCTTTGATCTGTGAAGGAGAGTTAAAATAGCTTGGACCCTTACATCTGTAACAGGCAAAAAAATCAAAGTTATTTAACAATCAATGATTAAAAATGCCTCAGTCAATATTCCAAAAGAGAAATAAAAGTAACTTTACGTTAACAGACAGTAAGTGTCATTTATACTCTTTCAATCAGTTGAAAGTACCTGTTTGCTCTTGGGTGCTTGTGGACGCGAACTGAAACAGGACATTCTGGAGACTGAAGAAGGCATTGCATTCCCACCCCCAACATCTACACTATCATCCAGACGCTTAAGGACATACAGAGCATGGATTACATCAGCCGGATTCAGAGAGATGCAGGAGGAACCATTCAACAAGAAATACACCAACATTTACAGACGCCTGGCCACCTTTAAGGACCGTTATCAGACTGGAACAATCGACTTGATGAGCTATGCTGATTCAGCATCCGAGCTTTTCCAACTTGGATAGTGTGTTTTGTGTTTTCTGGTAGAGACTTTTCAAGTACTTGACTATCAAAAGTTGCAAATGGAAATAATATCTAGATAAAGTGGATAATGTATTGCCATAGATAACGAGTCAGCTTCATTTAGGAGTTTACTGTTTATTCTAAATAATAGTTTATTTTAGTGCTAAATGCGCATATTGATTCACTATTACATGTATGAATATGAATTCAATTTAATTGCTGACACCAATATGTCAATGTGAATTTTATTTATTAATTAAACATAATCTTACATGATAACAATTAAGTAATGAATAATAATATCAAATATCAATATTTAATAACTATTTTGTAATACTTTTATATGCTAAACATTGTGTTACAATTAATTAAGACAAATAGAAACTTTATCTATTTCATTATTGATTTGTGGGTATCTTATTTACAAAATGAGTTGACATTCTTATTCAAAATAGACTATAACTTTAGCTTCAAAGGATTCCCTATATAAACACATTCCTTTCAAGTTGGCAGAGTTGGTGTTCGGGGAATGAGCCTGTACATCTGTGTGTAAACTTAACTACTTATTAATGACAGAAATAATTTTGTTCAACGTTAATGCTCTGGAGTCCAGTATCAAAGCACAATCGAACACTCTACCGACGTATGAGTCTGCTTCGCGAGCGAGTCTGCATAAGTATACCAATATACAAAATGAATTAAAAGATATGACTTTGAAGCGCAAAATTCAAACACATAATCTGCAGTTTAGCTTGTGAACAAGTTCGCGGTACTATACAGTACAGCAGTCCTACCGATGCGACAGATCGAGCGAGATGTTGTGATCTGTAAAGAGAAAGATTCATTCCCTTAATTATATCATATAAAATCTTTTAAATCGAAAATGTCATTTGACACGCATTTCTCAATGTCTTTTCTGTGTTTCGCGTTATCTGATTGGTCCGGATAAAAATATCCAATAATACCATCCAATGAAACAAGGGTTTACAAAAGACCACAAGGTAGTACACTGATGTTTTCTCCACTTTGAAAAACGATGTAAACTTCGAACTGATATCACCTGATTGAATTATCTAATTGACAAACATGGTTCTAAACCTGAAGCAACGGACAAAGTAAAAGGTAAATAATTATCAAAATGACAGTTTTACGATAAAATTGAACACTTTTTGGAACGAAACACATATTATCTAACAAGCCGCCGAGAACCACATGTTCACGTACAATGTACAGTGTAGGCACTGTCGGGATTTATTAACTGTTTTGAATTTCAGATTTTTTCGAAATAACCTATTAAAAGACGAATATTTCCCACTGTTAGTGAATAAAGAAAGCGGTTTAGTGTACTAAACGATCTTTGATGAAAAAATACATCACTTAAACATTTAGATATGGTTACTTCTGGGTTTTGACAGCTGGTCTGAAAAAAATGTTTTTTCTGTATGTCACATTCCGGGTAATATCACATTTTTCGCTGACAATAGAAAGTGATATGAAGCGGATTCTACTGCTTTACTATTACAAATACTTCCATAAATCCGTAGTTGTTTGTCAAGATACCTATCACATTATAAAGTTTATCACACTTCTGTTGCGGTAAACACTAACCTTCACTTCATCCGTGCCTCGCCATTTGTTATATTCAGATAAGACGAAATTGTTGCTTCGGTTAATTTTTTCCTCGCCTTGTCATAGGTTCCTGAAGAAATGAAAGCATGATTTACAAAGCTTTTGAACGTGTTTTTTTTTCTATTTCAATGATTTTATCAACTATACTAGTGTGTCTTAATGCAACATTTGTTTATTAAACTTCATAAATGCTAGTCATTTAGTCATTTAAATCATATATATGTACGAGTTATTTTAAGTCAAAACCATGATTTTTTCATTATTTCTTTCAGAATGGCAGTGAATTAATTATTAATATATATTTATATACTTGTATCATATTATTGGCACATTTTTATAACTTACCTATTTCCTTTAGAATACGAATTTTTTGTTTTTCTCAGCTGGGGTCTGGAAATTCTTTTTTTCTACAGCCTTCTGAACTCCACTTAGTGATTTGTTAGGTGACCATACTCAGTCTTTATTTCCTTTTGATATCCACAAGATTGGTACAACCTCAACTTCATTAGTTTTTGTAAATTCTATCACTGCATACATCTTGCCTAATCTTAATGGATCAAAGGAAACACTACAAAACCATCACCATAAGGCAAAAGGACAGTTTTACACAATATTTCATTTATGTCAAATATAACTAAACCTTCTTCTATTTCTTTTATATATGCAATGTTTAAGAGACAAGACTCTAAAGGATAGGTATAAAATGGTTCTACAACACGGAACTTTTCACAAAACAATTTACCAATATCATTACAAAAAACAATATTTCTAACAACATCATAAGAGCCGTTCGCAAGAAGTGTGTTATTTGGTTTTTTTCTTGAAATGAGAAGATTTTCCAAGTGAAGTTTTTCGAATTCTTTGCAGTATGGGAATGCAT